CTAATTTGTTTCCAACTAAATCATGTATCATCTGAAAAAGATTACATTGCAACAGCAAAACAACACTCCTGGGATTATGCTTCATCTGGATTTTAAAATTAAAAGGACAAATATTACATGAGTTGTAAATTTCCCTTTAAAGGTGGTGGCAGCAAGAACACCCAGCAACAGGGTCATTCAAGAACTATTAGTGTACTCAGCATGTAGCTAAGAGACACACATAGCAAATCAAAAACTCAAAGTATTAAGGGATCTGTTCAGCTTTAATTTCTACAAGAAAAAAAAATTGCTCTTTAGATCAAAATATATATACTTATGCAAACATATTTTGTAAGCAAAATAAATAACAGTAGCAAAAAAAATTAAAAGCTCCTATGGTTTAAAAATATTATCAGCTCTAATACCAACAGGTTTTAAACAAACTTGAAAATTTGCAGAGGTTTGGGAATTATTCCCAAAGAACGCTACAGAACAGACCTCCAAAACCATATCTGGACATTAATACAAAGTCCCCTATGGGCTTACTTGGGGAAGAAATTCTGACCTGGGTTTAAACCCGGTCAAATTCTGGTTTAACCCTAGCGCCTTCACCTACTTCTCAATCAAAACAGACCGAAGTTGCTGTCTTCACTGCTCTTTTCTCAATTGCTCCAAAAGGGACAAATTCTTCCACAAACACTGGCAGACAATGAAACATCCTAGGGCATCTCAGCACAAACAGATGCACGTGGACAAGTGCAGAAATAGGGAAATAGGATTAATCATGGGTATGAATACCTTTGCAACAAATTATCCTGGATGTTCAGAATTAAGTGCACGGTTTCAGTATAGCTACTATTCAGAACTTTCACTTTCTATACAAAGAAGGCATGTGTTTTCAATATACGATTATAATTTTCTTTTAATATCACATCATTTAAAATTAAAGTAAAAATCAACATCTGAGACCTATCTGGTCTAAGAAATACGAAAGCAGGAAAGCTGATCCACATCTTCAGTATTTCTCATCCAAAAAACATCACTTAAAAGGAGACCTGACTATGCCACATTCATAGAATTTCCTTCCCTCTCCCACAGCAGAAATCATTATTTTCAAATTCTGTCTGCCTGGAAATTCTTGGCTTCTTTCCACCTCTATGCCCATCTCTTATTTCCCAGTCCTTACAAGAACCTGCATCAGCCACCCTGTGAAAACACCAACATAGCTTTCCTAAAAGCACTTCAAAGAACTCCTTTGTCAGAAAAGATATTCAGAATTAATGAGCCCCCTTTGGGCACAACCCAAAATACAGTGTATTCCCAACTTCCTAAAGCTATCAAGCCTAGAACAGAATTAAAATTACTATCAGATTAAATGGGAAGAAAGAGAAGGAAATTACTAACTTCATAAACACTGAAGCAGTACAGGTACAGGGAATCTTTCCTGTATGCCTGAGTAAGCTATTTCTGAGGGCAACAGCAATTTGCGTCTATTTACATCTAATCTTTCTCCCTCCTCCAAGGGTGTAACTTACAGCAGTCTCTTCCTGCAGCTGATGAGGGCTGAAGACAGTTCATTCTGTCAAAATCCCTTGGCCTAGTCAGAAGAGGTCATTTAGCAGCAAAGACAGATGCTTCTCTGCTGATATAACTAAAAGGCAAAATAGAGCAAACAAGCCCAAAGACTCATTTTAGCAACAGGGTATCTGCAATTCCAATTTTAGGTATTGTTCCGTTTAGAAAGATGTTATTCATCCAACACTCATTTGCAAACTTCAATTTAGGATTAAAGAGCTGCAGACACCATGTGTAAAATTCTGAAATGTACATTCTATTTATTCTTCAAAGAAAAAAGATCTTTTCTTAAAGGCACATTATTCACTTCATATCTAACCTGGCATTTCAGCTAAACTCAGGTCTTCCACCAAGTGCTATGATTTCTTGAATACATTCTTCCCTTCTCCTTTTACACTCTTACCCCTATTTTTTTTTTTGCTCAGTTCTTTCACAAAGAAAAAGAAATTGAATAAAAAAAGGAAAAGTGAAACTGATTATACACCAGAAATACTGTCAAGGATGAAAAGGAAATGCTACACATTTTTAAACTAAATTGCTCAATGGCCAAGAAAATGAGACACTGGTTACAAAGCTAACACAGAAAAAGAATCATTTCAGGAAGAAATACACCTGAACAACAGACTACCAGTTAAAATTAGAAATGGGCATTACACTCAGAACTACACAAACATCATTAGACTATTTTGACAGAAAGCATTAAATTTCCAAAAACTAGAAACAACAACTCAGATACTTGAAATAATCCTGTGTGAATCCACGTATCCTCTCACACCAACTCTATGCCAAGTTCAGCTTGCACAAAACTTCGAGGGTAGGGGGAGAAGTGTATGTATAAATAATTCCTTTTTGCTCAGTCTGTTACTACTACAGGATGGAGCAACATCTGTCATGAATGGTTTAGGTCTGTCTCACTGTGCCTCAGAGCAGACGGAGGGATTAAGTGACCTCTCCATGCCCCTTCCAGCCTTGCTCTTCTATGATTTGGAGATTATTACATCATCTCTATTTTATTTTAAGACTTTTCCGGTTTCTGCAATTTGCTTTTCATTTGAAGTCATAATACTCAATTTCTGGCACAATGAGAAAACACGGAAATTGTAACGCTAAAAACATACTAGAAATCTTGATAAAAGAAAATTTAAGAAGACCAAAAAAAAAAAAGGTATGTTTTCAAACCATCGTTCCATAAGAAGTGAAAAAAAGATACATAAGGAAAAACTTCTTATAAACAATTTATGCTGATATTTGTGGAAACTGCTAAAATACTGTAAATACATGTTTACATATTCCTATTTTTGAAAAGGTGTGAAGATGAGGATGAGACATGCGGTAGTCTAAGCCGCAATGGAAATATGGGCAGGAGAGAACCAGAGAAGATGGCCAACATCAAAGCACTGCCCATATAAACACCTCTCCAAGTACCCACTTCTGACTGAACCGCAAGAGAGATAACCCCTAACCAAACTTATCTTCTACATGACATCACCCTTCCTCTGACTGCATCACATACCAGAAGAGCATCTACACCTGCACCCTCCCCTCCCTCTGCATCCAGTCCGAGTTGCTCCTTGTGCAACTTGTGCCTAGCAAGTCAATTATGGTCCTAACTGTCTTGTGCGAAGATCAAGACATTTCAGCAATTCTCCAAACAACTAACATTTTTTGAAGGTTTTTTTTCAACTTCATCAAGAAAGCTTCTTTCTGTGATCCACAAGAGAAGCACGCAATTAAGAGTCACAGCGCAACAAACCTCAAGGAATAATGAGCAAAGTGTCCAACACAGAATTCATCAGGCAGCCACACACTATTCCACCTGTTGTACTGCATACTTGTAAAACCACAGAGGGGAGGAAAAAAAAAATGCAGATCTATTAAACAGCTAGGAACATGAATTTTGATCCCTTTTTATATCCTATTGTTATCCATAACCCAGGAAGCTGTTAATTGGCCTAAGTAATTGGTTTAAATACCCAAGTCCCATTATAAAAATATACTATGAAAATGCTTAGACACTTATCACAACCAAAAATTTCTTAACTAAAGTTCAAAGCTGAAAAGGCACTAGGGACTTGTCTACACCGAAGGAAAAAGAAGCATAATTATACCAATATAACTAGCTCAGTGTGGAAACTTACTCCAGTATTTCCCACTTAAGCTTACGTGCTTTGAAAGAAAAATAAGATAAACCATGAAAACTCTTATTCTGGTATAAGAGTGTCTCCATAGGGAGTTATATTGGTATAATTATAGCATATAATTATAGCACATAGTTGTACTGTTAAATTTCCTTGTGCAGACAAGCACTAGGTGCCCAGTCCGCATACATTTTCTAGCAAAACAAATGGTTATCAAATTCCAGTAGAGACACATAAAATACTTAGCTTTTATTTTTGTTTGATGAACCTTCTTCATTTTAAAGTGATGAATTACTTCAATTAATCTTCCTTGCAAATGCTTTTCTCTCTGCTGTCCTATATGGTAATAGATTATTCTTCTGGTGAAGGCATCATAAACTCACACTTTGAGAACGGCTGTAACTCCCACACTGATTTAGGCTCTCATCACATAAAGGAAGTGGTGAGAAATCAGGTACAAGGAAGGAATAAGGTGCTGTTTACACATTTGACTGTTAGACTCGCACCTTTTATAGCACATCCTCAGCTACTTTAAACAATCAAGTGCTTCAATAACTCTCTATCCTTCTGACAATTTCATTCTCACCTCATTTGCTGTAGAAGTTAAAATATTTCAGCCAACCTTGAGGAAGCCATGGTTCCTCCTCCTCCCCTCGTACACACTGGGGGGGTGGGGGCAAGTACATCTACAAACCATGCCACTAGCTGCACTTCAAAGCACAAAAGAGAACCATAAAAGATATACAAGCTATAAAACTACGAAAGACACTTCAGAATCTTTTGAGAACAAGCAACTTTTCAGAAGATACTAAGCTCAGAAACCCAAGCTTAAGCCAAACAAACTGTCACTGTTTATGAGAAGGATCCCTTAAAAAGGCAGCAAACAGAAATACCTGTTATGCCAGTCTCCAAAAAGTGGAAAGCACTGACAACCTGCCACAGAGATGTCAGCGAAATTATTAATAGCAATAATACTTCACTTTGGGCATTTTAAACACTTTCCTAAGAAAGGCTAAGTAACCCTAGAGATAATTAAGGACTACAGCAACCATTTTGCAGGACACACAGTTAAACCCCTTTTGCAAAATGTGTTTATTCGTCTTTAACCATTTCGTAAAAAAATCACATTACCAGAAAAAGAGCTCTTTGCAGGATAGGCACCTCTGTGTTTTCTTCTGTACTTCTGAACAATTTCATCCCTCAGCACTACACCAGGTTTTGTCACTTTGGTTTTGGAATACATCCCCAGCGCTCCGAACATGCCTTGTTTGCTCCCATGGACACCAGCTCCAATGGTGGCAGAGATACCTTGACTGGGCTGCCCGTTCCTTCCTCCCTGTACCCAGCACGGCCCCTCAGCCCTGCCAGAGTGCTCATCGTGTCCTCTGCCCTGCCTGATGCCCCGCAGACGGACCCACTGGAGCGACTCGTGGGAGGGCTGCTGAGCCACAGGGAGCACCGGCGCTGGGCAAGGAGGACCACCATGGCACCTCCTTCACAGAGGTGCCCACTTGACCACAGCTGAAGTGCCAGCAAGCAAGCAAGCAAGCAAAGAGTTTTCAACAGACTGTGAAGCAGCACCTACACAACAAAACCGCTGCTCTGTTTCCAAATCAAAAGCTTGCATCTTTGTACAGAAATTGCATACCTAAGTGTTAAGGTCAACTGATCTGGAAATTCATCCTGATATTTTCCAATTTGCCAGTATGCCTCATGTCTGCAAATATGCTTGAAAAGAAACACTGAGAGTACTTACATGCAAAAATTTAACATATCAAAAGAAAAGCAACAGCAGGAAAATCTCTGAAAAGGTATTCTTAAAAAAAAAAAAAAGGACAACAAAAAATAAATGTATCAAGCTTAACAGTAAATGGGTATTAAAACTATTAGTTCCAATGGGTTAACAAGAGGAAGGTTAGCCCAGAACTCCAACAGAAGTCTGGAGTCATCTGCCTAGATATATGTTTTGAAAACACTATAAACAGTGGAAGGAATTAATTTCACCTGCCCCTTGACATCAACACCTGAGCTTATCGGCTTAGACTTTCTTTAGAGCTAAGGGAAAAGCATGTAACTTTAGGAGCATGATTCACTAGACCTGCATTACACATCTACTTTAGGATGAGATGATTCACAGCAAGCAGTGACTATTTCTTTACACCAAAGAGAAGAAAAGCCCACACGAGAAGATCAGGTATAAATGCCCTACAGTACATATGGTTAGATGAGTCCCACCCCTGAAATCCAGTATTTCAGAGATACTGAAGGCTTAGTTGGCCACTTCAATCAGTGCATTCCATATAATCATCATCTTGGGGGAAAAAAAAAAAAAAAAAAAACAACTTTCACTCTCTGCCTCAGCTTCTTTCCTTTTTAAGAGGGGGATAACAATGATTCTCTGCTCCAGAGAAATGTTGAGAAATTAAATATCCATCATTATTTACAGAGTAGTTTTACACTGAAGACACAGTCTCACGATGAGTTTAAGTTGATACAAGCCTGTACCACCACCAAAAGGGGCTGTCCTGCCCTGACCCCACCCTTAGCTGAACTCGGCCACATCCTCCCTTGCCTTACCTCTGTGCTGGGAAGATTGTGCTGCAAGTCAGATCAGCTCACTGATCTGGCTGAAAGCTAACCATTCACAGGTTCTGTTTGGCAGGATTAGTTTTCAGACAAATGAGGGAGCTGATGGGACTCACCTTATGACACAAGGGAAGGAGCAGGGAGCTGATAAAAGGGTGGGACTGGTCTTTCCAGCAGAAGTGAAGTCTTAGATCAGCTTCAGATGACCATCAGACACCCTTTGGTGAAAGATCTTTTAGAAACACAGAACTCAATAAAAGAGTACCCAAGGAGCATAACAAAGGGCTATGGAAAAATGCAGAGGTAAACAAATCAGGATTTCGACTTTTCTTCAGTTTTCCCCAAAGAAATTCTTGCTTATCCACACAAAAGGCACATGACCATTTAGTTCAACACATATTTTCCTATACATTTAGGTGTTACAGCCTTTCACCTGCTAATTTGCCCTTTGTTTCAGCCCTGATCCTCAAAAGCCAAGAAGAATAAAAAGCTGCCTTTTTGAAGAATACCCATGTAGATCTTCTGATGAATGTCTAAAGAATGAACTTGATTTTAGAAACTATTTCCTGCTTATTCCCAAGCATTAATCTAAAAGTGACAGAAGAAACATGCTACTGAATGCTCAGTATCAGATAAAAACCTAAGAACAAAAAGTCGTGTTTGTGGTCTCCTTTGGTCTAAGATAGGATATATCTTAGATAGATATATATAACCCCACATCTGGAAAGAAAAACTACATTTCCACCTATCCCTGGCACGTGGCCGAGACAACTTCCTCAAGTAAGACAGACAGCCATGTGCGAGTTCAAGGACTTCAAGAAAGTAAGTGTCATCAGGAATCATAATTATTTGAACCTTCTGTTATGCAGTCATGACCAGCTGCAGCCGTTAACAAAAAGGACCTACTTTCTCCTCCATCTTTTCAAGGAAGACATCAACCCCAAGCAAAGAAAAATTTTAAACTGAACGATAAAAAGCAGGAGTAGAGAGAAGGAGCAAACAGGGTAAGTCAGACTCAGCTTTTTCAAACCTAAAAGACAAGTAACTACTGCGGGTAAATCCAAAATTTTTTTAAGGAACAAGAATTGTTGTAAACAAACATCTAGGTCTTCTTAGAAGCAAAGCAAAAAATAATTTGGAGACTACCATGCAAGAAGAAATTGGCCTTTGTTTTTCTTTGAATTCCTAAGGTGTTTTCCTATGACAATGCAATCTTAACTAACTTCTTACACAGGCTTCATACACCATCTGAACAATCTACATCCCCCCAGAGAAAATATGACACACTGGAATAACAAATAACCATCGCTGGCAGCTTGCTCTTCTCCATACCCCCAATCTTCTAAGGAGAATTTAAAAGAAGAGGAATCTATGAAATGAAATATCGCATAGTATAAAATTGCATAGACTGCACCTAGCACATAACATTCACTACTTAATACTGACAATTACATGCAAAAATGTTCCCTCTCCTCAGTTCCTGTTTTTTCTACACTTTCCACATACACAGCAACACCACACTTTAATTCTTCTGCTGATGTATTTTCAAATATCTTTTGGGCAAATATAGAAAGATTTCTTAATTACAGCTGCCATGCCAGGTAAAAAGTAAAGAAACTGTGCATGTCAACATTTACATTCCAGCTTGGTTTTGTCTCCTTTGTTTGTTTCCCTCTTTTCTCTAAGTCTGCTATTACTTAGAGGATCAGCATTAGAACAACCCAAAAAACCCCGGCACTGTCACCCACAGGTAACTACTTGTATGATTCCTCCTATTACACTGCCAAGTCTTGCCAGGATTTGGGGGCTTGCTTGGTTGGTTTTCTGGTGACTTTTTTTTTTTTAAATGCAACTTGACCTCTGGGCACTAGAAGAGCCTACACAGGAAGCTGGCTAGCAAAGGCACTTTCCCTGCTGTCACGCTTTCCCCAACAACTTCTGTGCACAGATTCCTTGGAGGACAGAGAGGAGCAAATGCAAGTCAGAGAGAGGGACGGGTACCAGGGTCACTCAAAAGCTATTTTCTCCCTAGATATACAGTCACACTACTCTCACGCAACTGTAAAATAGCAGATGATAGTAAGAATGGCTTTTCCATCACACTGATGATTTGGAAAGTGAGAAAGATACAAATTTAGAGATAACATTTAAAGAAGGAAAAAGAAGTACCATAAGACAAAGGAGCAAAAAAGATTATGATGTCTGGATAACCGAAAGTAGTATATCTTTGGGGAGGAAAGAAGTGAGACAGAAGCGAATCATCCACAAATAAACCTCTCGCTCTCTACAGGAGAAAAAGCAGAGGAAAAGCCTTGAGCAACCATATCCCACAACAGAGGTGACACTTAATAGTGTTCATGTCTCCAGAGAAAGTAGAGAAATGCATCCACCATTCTCCCAGCCACACTCACGCAAGTAACAGCTCACTCAGGCCCTCCCCAACCCTCACCCTAATAACAAAGCATATTTTTTTTATTATTACTATTATGAGCTGTGAAGAACTAAAAGGAGGAATGGGGGGGCTATGCAAAGTCTTCCTGAGGCAGGCAATCCCTCTTCACTGCTTGTTTACAAAGTGCTGCATTTGGCAAGTTCCTCATGAACAACCAAATCCCTAAATGGTGCCCCAATGCACGAGACAACCAACCCACGTACCTAAAGCTAGACTTTGAGGGTCTCAATTCATCTACAAAACGTTCCAATTGTCACCAGCATTCACAACTCTCAACAGCTTAGGCTCTGGTAGCCCTCAGTTCCCTATGTAACTCTTGGAAAAATGTTTTCTTTTATTTTTAAATATTGGCAACCACATCAACATGTTGAGCACTTCAAGAAAACCGTTCTAAAACACAAGACAGTTTGGTATGGATGCTGCCCAATCAGCCCCTTCTCTTTAAAGGAAGAGCTCAATTAATTTGGGAACTTTTCTTCTGAATGATTTTAAATGGGTTTTTTTCATTGTGGTTGGATCTCAGTTAGTGTAATTGCTATTTATATCAAAACATTAAAAGGTCTGGTTATGGGGTTTATTGTAAAAGCAAAATGTGTTTTTAATACTTAAAAAAAACCACAACAAAATATTTTGTAGCACTGTTTTCCCCTGTATTTGCATACCACATGTTTAACAACAACAAAAGGCGTCTTTCACAAAGTCAAAAATCTCTAAAATATTACTAAAGTAGTAGCTCCTACACTTTGTTAGCAGGAAAAACGCTTTTGTGCCAGGTTGGATGGACGATCACAAGTGATACAGGTTAGCTTCAGGATTTAAAAGAAAAAAAAAAATCTACTGTAAACCAAAATATAACATACAAGACAAATACAATATTCCTTTATTAGCAAAAATTTTAAATGTAAAAAAAGAGTCACTTAAAGAAAACCACTAGAAATACTCCACAGAACATCCTTTCGAAGATGCGACGGCAGAGGGTCACACGGCAGAAAACCTGCCTCGAAAGGCAGCTAAGCGACACGCAGCCAAGATCTATGGTCCGAAATAAACAAAGCACTCCCCAAACTTCTCCCCTCCCGCCTGTGTCTCCCGCAGCAGCGGCTCTCCCGCGGGCGGCGTTCCCTCTCCCTCGGGCAGGTGAGGCAGCGGCCTCCCGCACACCGCCTGCTGAGTCCCATCTCCTGGTGTCACCTCTGCCCAGGTCACGGGTGAATGGCTGTCAAATTCCCCGAGGAATAAAAAGAGAGGGGGGGGGAAAAAAAAAAAACCACACACCCAAGCACAAAGCCTCCCCAACGCTTTCTTCCCGAGGCGGCGCGTTTCAATGAGGGCGCACACGGCTCATCTCCATTTGTGAAGGTCAGGGCCCTCCAGCCGGGAGGTGAAGAATGGTGCGGCTCACGTAAGGGGCCGCCTCGCGCTCCCTGGCCTGCTGCCCGACAAGCGA